TCCGATCAGAAGAGTCAAACTGGAGTTATACAAAACATTTCCCAACAGGGGCACAGATGTGTACCGACCACACACAAAAATAGCTAAATGTGTCACTGACATGACCTGTTAAGCTCACTCCACATGCCAAGAATAGCATGGCCCTTAGTTCTTACATTATTTCTTCAAGTGCAATGCCATCAAATGTTTTCCAAAACCACTAAACCAAACCAAGCCTTGGTGGCAAAACCATGACTCATTAAAAAAAAAGCAAACCCTAGGTGTGCCTGGACAAATGTTTTTGAATGAGAAGAATGGGAAAATAATGTCCAGGCCTTCCATAAATGAAACCACAATGCTTCACAGTTCAGCAGTAAGCCAGCCATTAGCATAGCTGACACCAGACCAGCACCCAAACAAGAGCCGCTCTGTGTGACAGCGCTTTGATACAGTCCCTGCTGTTTACAGAAGGCCACCAGCAACACTACAAAATGGCTCTCGTGGCCCAAGTGGAGAGCACCAACGGGCCAAAAATGAACCACGGGTCAGAGGAAAACAATGCAACTATAGCAAATGATGTACAGGTAAGATAATGAGTTTCCTTTTTCATAGGACGAATCTAGAGGTTTTGTTTTTAAGGAAGCCATAACTTGGAAGAATACAGGTTGTCTTGCAGGCCTCACCCTTCCCAGTTTAAGTGAGGGTTTCTTGATTCAACTAAGACAGGAAGACAACAGGATGCCTACTGCTGCCAGTGTTATTAAAAAACTGAGTGCTAACTGAAGAAACCTTAAATACCACAATCATTATGTGATGATACGTTGGCAAAAATCTCAGTATAACAAATTATTAAGGCTCACTTAGAAGACTGCAGGCCTGTATGTGACAGTGGTAACAGGAGGACAGACTAGGGATGGCAGCGTTCTTATCGGCTGTTAGTTTGCCAGCCGACATCAGTTGTATACATACTGTATACAAACCACAATCATTTAAGTGTATAATTGCAGCCTCAATTATTTATAAGTCTGGCAAACTTAGACCTGGTACATACTGAGGCAAAACTGATTGTAAAGTAGTCTAATTAAAAGCTGAAACTGTTTTAATTTCCCAATCTTAAATGATGCCCTAATGCTAAAGTAATGCTGAAATTATCATGAGACCATAGAAATGGGATGTCTGGAACAAGAAGAAAAAAAAGATATTCTGAAGTTTGTTCCATTTGTTCTCAGCTTCTTTTTTCCAATCACTGACAGCTAGCAGCTTGCTTAATGTGGGCTCTTCTCAGTTTCCTTTAACAACAGCCCTCAGATGCCAACCTTTCCTGCTCTCTTTTCTCCACTGTGCTCCTTCTGACCTTTGTTAATAAAAAGGTCAGACTAGTTTTATCAACACCACATGATCAAAATCATACCTAACCAGGTTGTCAGCAACAAAACAGAAACACAATGCTGGTACAAACACATGCAGCAGACACGCAGTCATTTCTTAATATTGCTGTGAGGTCACTCATTGACATAATGTATTCCCTAGCCCCTTACCTTAACCATCACAACTACATGTCTAACCCTATCCCCTAATCTACTTCAAACCTTTACCCTCACAAAGTACTCTGAAGTTGTGAGGCCCACATCAAAATAAATTGATCCACTCAGTGTAACAAAGACATGTACAGGGCACACACAGCACAAAGACTCCCACTTTTTCTGTGCTATCATGTGATGTTGCCATGGCGAAGAGGGCTCAGACATAACGGTGCGATTGAGCTCTGAGGGCGAGGCGGGCTGATCAGAGAGACAGACTGTTCTCCGACTGTGACACTGCCAGACCCGGTGCCAACTGCCTTTCCGCCCACAGCAAAACGGACACACCCACCGGCAGAAGGGCCAGCCTGCACGGGGCCCTACCCTCATGGAAATCAGAGCACACCACATTGCCTTCTGCACACATTTCACTTTCTTCCTTCCTTCTAGTGGCATTCCATTACACCAAGGTTATTTCATCTTTTTGTTGGAAACTGTAAATTCAGTTCTTAATTATTTGAAACTGTAAATGTTTTCTGTACGTAAAGCGACAGTTTATAAAGTCATTCTAACACTTTTAGTTAAAATATGCTCCAAAACATAGACTGTCTTAACATGGAAAGGCGCTGTGAAGGGCTTCTCTAACCCAAATCCACTGGACAGCCTGGCAGCAGAGCAGAGTTACTCCCTTCAAAAGTTTGAGTGAGCCTGATCCTTCTAACTAATCAGAGAAGGGCACAGGCCACAGAGCCCACAGCTGTCAACACGTGAATGCAGCACATCTGGTCTACTACTCCTGCTGCACCGAAGCTCCAAGCTAGTGTTAGCTGCTGGCATACGTCACTGTGGCTGACTCGCAGGCAGGCTAGTTCCTGATTCCTACATTAGCAGAGACAGCATACACAACAAGGATAAAGGTGAGTGGAACAGGGCGGAACAGGGCAGAACAGGAAGCGGGAGTGGTTTGCTCTTATGCCAGTGCCAGCTTGATTTCCAGAATTTGCATATTGCAGCTTTAACAGTCTACTGTATTTCTGATCTCTTACATCCGATCAGGGCAAAGATGCAGCGATTGATTGGCTGGCTTTTAGCTTGATCGGTCATAACTGGCGATCTGGCTGATTACTGAGATATCCAGTTCTGTGCCAGTCATATTTACACACACGATGGTGCATGTGCTCACTTTCACTTGCACGTTGGAACCGCTTGGTGTACAAATAGCGCACAGAGGAGCCCACAGAGACACCTTAGAGAAAGGAAAACGGTCCACAACTCTGATAAATAGTACACAATGAGAGAATTACTGGCTACAGTTGAAATCCATGTGTATGTACAGCACATTCAACACCGCAAATAAACTACACACACTTAAAAAAATAAATAAAAACTGTTGAGTGGGATTGATGTAACAGACACTCATTACAATTTTGCATTAAATAAAAAGTTACAAACATGTTTGTCTGCTGTCAATTGTAGTTTTTATAGAGAAAGAAAACTGAAATTGGCCAAAATTGAAATTGGCAGACCAGGCTTGAGAAAGAAAATTGCAACTGCTGCACCTCTAGATCATGGTAAAAAAAAAAAACAAACCATCAGTTATGCTGTCATCTTACAGTGGAAACTAACAGTTATGCTCATTTTTAAGGGTGTAACAATTCTCAAGCTGGGACCAAAAGCACAATACAAACATCCACTGTCTCGCGGCACAACTCCAAGTTCTGGAAATGTGAGGCTTTTTGCCGCAAACAGCTACCTGCTGCTGCTGAAAATAATACTCTGAGAGCAGAGACGGTGAACAACAACAGTGATGCTGAGGGCTGGACAGTTCAACAATGAGCTGAATTTGCTGTAAAGTTTAAAGGGAGGGGAGCTGCATATTCAGGTGACAATTCTCTATAGGCTGATCATTACAAATGACCCTCAGTTTTTGTTCTAATGGTTTCAGAGGTGTTGAATTAACTGTATGGTCATTTTGAAAGCTGTAGTCTGTGCAGCTGTTGAACCTGCAAAACACAGAGGTGTTCCTGTTATTTAGCCTCACTGATGTAGATGGGGCGAACATAATAATAGAAACACATCAGTAATAGCACCAACATCAAAATGTTGAACCAACAGCTCTCTAAAGCAGCATTCATGAAGCTAGGGTTTTGCAGGTTTTAGTTAGATGTACCTAATAAACTGCCAAATGAGATTAATTCTTCCATGCATACAAACAGCTCACACCTCAGCTTCAACACACAAAACACAAGCTTAAGCTGCCTGATTTAACTGAAGTTTAAATATATACTGCTCTGTGTCTGCTTTAAAGCACTTGGATTTAAGGGTGAGCATAAAAAGGAGACTATTGACATTGTGGTCTAAACTGTGGCTGCACCCTGTCGCCATGGACCTGGCAATTTAGTGTGAATCACTGCCTCAATCGTTTCTTTTTTTCCCCTACAGGATTACACTGAAAAGACAGGTCAAAGTACAGTCAGAAAATATGTTGAATGTGTTGCTGGCATTTCTGTGAATCCACTTTAATTCCATAAGATAATGATGGAAACATTTAATTAAGACTAAGTCAAAACTGTGCGATGAGACGGCATCGCTGAACTGTAATCGCTTAGGTTCGACACAAAACTTCAACTGAAACATTTTGTGGAAAGCGGGTTATGTTTACAGCAGATTAAACTGTGTGGGTGTAAGAACTTTAAAGATTTATAAATCCCTGCATGACCTTTAAAACAGTGGAGTAAGCTGAGAGGCCACTTCTAGGTAGTCTGGCTACTCTTCAAGAGTCGCCACAAATACTGTATGTAAGCTTCAAACACTTGGGAAAAGTAGGAGGAGCTGTCAAATTCTACTGCAATACATGGGTATGTTTCTAAAGCTACACAGTGGCAACACGGTCCTCATCACAAAGCAAGACAACAGAAGCATCGCACTGCGCACTCAGAAGTTGACACTGAACACACAGGTGTATAAAAAGGAGGGAAGTCATTATTCCATGTAACATAACACACGCTCATATCCGTCTTCTAACCTTTATGGCTGGACAAGATCTAGCAATCAGCTTGTTTGGTTTACTGATGTTACATTTTCTTAGCAAAGCTTTTATTAGAACTAAAAAAAACAATGTGAGGTATTGACAGGCCCTGGCATTCTTCATCTTTCTCACCTCTTCTAATCAATATGCATTGATAATCATTAACTCACAAACCTACATAGGTTTGTGAGTTGTGCTGCTTATGTAGGTGAATAGGATAAGTACCTTTTACTCCATTACATTTTACAGCTATAGCTTACAAATTAAGATATTACATTAAAACCAATCTACTCAACATTGTATATAGTAATTAAAACTGGTCTGAGAAATTAAACAATATAATAATACATAACAATGTGTCAAGAATAATAATCCAATAATGAAACAATCACACTTACAGGCTCCATATTCCTATATAGAGCACACTTTGCTAATTTCACTTACATACTTCAAGTAACTGTAACAGGACTTACTTTTGCAGCTGACCTGGATACTTCCTCCATCACTGCTGAATTACTTTGCAGGGTGTTCCTGTTATTCTTTCCAACCGCCTGTATGTGCACTGTGTGTAGGTTTCCTTGTTTGTAATTTTTCTGGTTGGAAAAAATACTTATCAGTCATGGTGATAACTGAACAGGCTAGCCCTGAAACAGCTGCTGGGGCCTCAGTTATAGAAACAATCCATGTCATAGGAACTGTCTGCCTTGTCACTGCTAAAAATATACAGTACACGTATATGTGAACTGATTTCCTTGTTCTGTATCACTGGTTGCCCCTTGGAAACAATTAAACCACTCACAGATAAATATCAAGCCAGCAAAGTGACATTAACAGTCGGAATCCTAGAGCCCTTGATGTAAAGCTGGTAAGGGCCCTGAGGTACTTCAGAAATGTTTGGTGTAGACTAGTCCAAACTTCTCAGTGGTATTAGGCAATGGAGCGGTGGTGGCAGTGCGCATTGCGCATGCCCAGTTGTCGACCCGCCTAGTCGTCAAACAGTGTCTGCTTTGCGCACGAAAAGCTCGACGGAGTGAAACGAACTGGTGTGATTAAACAGCCAAATGATAGACTGTTGGTGCTCTTGACTGTTCCAGTTTCCCCAGTCTGGTTCAGACGGTGGACAGGCCACCAGACTGTGGATATGAACGGGTGCTATTGTGATACTCTGTCGGATGTAGTTACACACGTGTAGCAGCTCCATTCACTCGTTTTGTTGCGTGCGACCAGCGCCAACAATATTCCCTTTAAGCGAAACGTCTCCACGTGGGGTTGAAATGCAATATTTACGGTGGTGTCTGTCAAAGCTGTGGGAATACAAAGCCAAGGCTGCGTGGTTACGCGCTGCAGCAGCTGATTTAAATAGGCATTTTTACTTGACTGTATTCACACTCGCCAGGCCCATTTCCCCTTAAATGCATCCTGCACAGACGCTCACCACAAAGAAATGCGCAAGAAAAGTGGCTAAACAAGACAGAAGCCCTGTCGAAGGCGATAAAACAGCGTTTTCTGACTGACAAAATGTACTTACAAATGAAATAGGACACCACAAGAGGGGAATGTGCGCTCCTCTTCGCCTCCACGCCTCTGTCTCTGCCTGGCTTTTCCAAGAAACGTTCTCCGTGGGTTGCGTCGAAAATGTCAGAGATTCCAGCAGTGTCTGTCGTCCCCCAGGATGGTTGCCCTCGACTCGACCGACTCAGGCGACCATGTTGCCCAGAATGTCGCCTGCTGCTCTCATCCGGGCGTTTAGGGACTGAACCGTCGTCTCAACTCTGCCCAGGATGACAGCTTTAGGATGAAGGAGGGGGAAGACAGGGAAGGAGAGGGAGAGAGAGTCCTAGTGGTCAATCCACTGAGGGCATGACACCAAAGGGGAGAAGGAAACATACAATAATACACCAAGTAAGGATTACGGTTTATATGTGCACCGTTTTTTATTCTGGATTTTAATTTTATTTTATATTTCATAATATACACACAAGGGGTCAGCACAGGCTGTGTCGTTAGTAGCAGCAGTAACGTTTATATTGTTGTACCCCGTACTTTTTACCATTGCTAACTCTGAGAGACGAGTCAGTCCAAGTAACTTCAAAACAGTGCTGATTTATTCAAAGGATCACAGGTAAAATTAACATTACACGCTCAGGTATCTTGCACCTCCAAACTGCTCACAGGCAGATGAAAGATGAAAGACCCTGAACCCAACAGGCCTATACATTATATCCCTTCGGTTGGGCTAGCCCCATACTACACAGAAACGTCAACCGAGACGTCTCTGTTGCCAGCTTTGCAGCTGGCCATAGCAGTAGTCAAAACATGAAGCAAATCAATGTGTGTGTCTGTTGATTAAGTGGTGTGTAGCTAAAAACATTCTCACGACCTCTAGTAACATGTCGTGACTTAAACATAAGAACATATTATGGCTAAGGCTACAGTTATACACATCATAATAATAATATTAAACACCCTGTCTGCTGACAGTCATCAACTCTTCTCTCTAGTATCCTTGACCAGATGTACCCTGTAGAAACTCATAAGCACGCCTAAGCATTTAACAGTCTAACTAGACATCCTATCTCCACTAAACATTTCTAATACATAAAGTATCTATCCAATTTCTATGACTAAAAATACCTAACAATATCCAATGCACATATTTTGCTTTAGTGTTGCTTATACAACTCTGAAATGTGTGAAAAAGGAAAAAGGCCATTCATTTATTTATTTTTCAAGCAAAAATGGCACAGCCATAAAAAGCGCACACTGCTGTGACTGAGTGCACCTCGAACAGCAGATTCTCCTCCCACAGCCTTCTTAAATTGTGGATCATTTTTATGGATGAGACATAAAGTGCCCGTGCCGAGCAGAGGAATTTGTCCCTTGCGACTCTGTCATCCTGGTGTTTAAGATAAAAAACAAAACAAAAAATTATTTCACCAGATTTTCCTTTAGCCTTGCCCTCGTTTTACGCATCAAAGGTAAAACGGGTTGTCGCTTGGGAAGGTTGCGGTTCCTGGGTCGATGGAGATGTTTAATCCGTCCAGATATTGCCATCTATCATGGCTGTGGCCACGTGCTCAAGGCATCAGTGTTACGTAACGCCCAAGCCAGTCAACAACAGTGGGTGAGGGAGGGAGGTGGGGTTGTTTGGGGGCAATTCAACCACCCTCGAAAATAGGATTTACATTTACAGTGCATAGCCAACAGGAGAGAGCAAGAGTAGAGGTTTGTTTTTACAGAAATGCTGAACAATAATAATAAAAAAAAAAATTGAAATTCAGTAATTTCCTGTATCAAACGTTTCCAATTTTGCCTTTGATTTCCCAGAGCATACTAGAAAAAACATAACTTGCCATAGGCTATACAGTTGATACAGGAGTACCTGCGTGTGTGTGACCTGAGAAATACTTTCCCTTTTGAACTGTATAAATGCTGGGTCTAGTTGAGACATGACTCTGCTCCATTCAGCCAGCGGGTGAGGTGGAATATCTGACTCTTAGTGACACCGACTTTCACTCGTGCCTGGCAGGGCCTGCCTTACTGTTTGACACTGGACACAAAGCTGCTCTAGCTAACCTTCACCTTCTAACTTTTGACCGGTAAAGAGTGTGAGAATCAAAACAAACTCACACTGTAAAAAAATGTCTGTGAAATTAACAGTAAAGTGCTGTAAAATCACGACGTCAAAAAAGTGTAAATAGAAAAACAATGAAGCAGTGTTTTATGTACAGTAATATTTAGTAAACTACTGAACCAAACAAAACTGTTAATTTTAAGGAAAAATATGTTAAAATAATCATATTTCTATGTGGGATTTACAGATTACTGTGGATTAAACACTGAAAAACCGTAATACAAAAAACAACCCAATACAGTTAAAATTACAAAATAGCAGTTTTAAAATAATGTTTTTTGTACAGAAAGAAACCGTATTATATTTTACAAATAAATATGTTA